ATTAGTCAGAGTGAAAACCCAATTACCTTGAGAGTGATTGAAAGTACTTTCTGGACCATCTAGTAACAACTCAGATTGAGCATATCTTTCGTGAGGGTAACAATTGTGCGCACATTCTTGCTAGCAATGGGCTTCTCAATAGCATATAATTCACCATCTTCTCTTCCGCTTCGCGTTGTATTTCTTTACAACTTTTTATGACGCTAGGTGGATTCTTTGCCCGCATTTTGTTGATCTTAATTTTATGGGGAAATTGCAAATAAGTGAAATAATCATAAAATAATTGCACTATAGATTTAAAGAAAAAAAAAAATATTTTGGCGCAACTCTCACATACTGAAAAGACTTGTACTATATGTACAAGGGACTTGTACCACTATGAAAATGAAATTATTTCTCTATTACTTCACTTAAAAGCAATTTTTCCTAATTTTATCTACTACCATCTTACCCAAAAAAATTAATAATAATAAAATTAGATTTAATTTATTTCTTTAATTTGGTCAAATTGAGAGCTTGTTCTTGTTTCTCTCTTCTTCCTTCACTAGTATAGAGGACGAATCTTGTAAGAAAAAAAATTGCTTTCCCCAACTATGATTTGGGTCCAAAATGCAACTAGAAAGAGAATCATTATTATGATTATGTTGAATAAATAGAAAAATGGTTGAGACCATTAAAAGTAATGCTCTAATAGCACCATTAATGATGTGGCAATGAGTCCCGCCCACTACCTATGCTCTTTTTTTTTGGCATTCCCAAATACATCAGTACTATTAATGGTCGTTTTTTTAGTGGTATGAATCATTATTGGAATAAATATCAGGTTCTATTTGGATGACTAGAGAAATGGTCCCAAAACATTTATGGCCCCGGCTAAAATGCTATAAGATCCTTGCTCTCTTGACAGTTTTAACAAGCCAGCTGGTTCCAATGCACAAATTGACAAAATGTTTCATTACATTTCCAAACAGGCCCTAAGAGTTGAGTATATGCACAAAAATTAACTTAACATTTGGAGGATGAATTTGTGTGGGAATTTCTATAATGAAAATAAAAAAGGTAAGTAAAAAAGGAAAATGTCTCGTAACTCAAATTTTGTAGCTCAAAAGTGGCTCAAATGGCCAAAACGACGTCGTTTTGGCCATTTTTATGTTGTTCTGTACTTAAAACGACGTCGTTTTGGCCATTTGAGCCACAAAATTTGAACTACGTAGCATTGTCGAGTAAAAAAATAGTTTTTACTTCATTTCTCATTTATCTTTTCTTTAATTTTCGTTTAAGAAATTTAACATCAAAATATAATTTTTGTGGTAACTTATCTCTTCTTTCATATTAACTAGTCACAACTCAGAGCACATTTAAAAAAACAATTATACATTCTAAAATAATGATGTTAATGTATTCAGAAAAAAATATTTAAAAAAACGTCTAAAATTTGAAATGCATGGATGAAGTTTATTGTGTGGGACCACATCACACCAATTTTTTTTTTATATCATAAATTCAAAATTCTAAGTACACAAAACTGGATACAACACAACCCTCTTACATGGGATGTGAGATCTACAAAATGTGTGAATCCTAACTCATATGAAAAGATTGTGTCCAGTCTATAATCATAGAACCGGACACAACACAACCCTCTTACATGGAATGTGAAATCTACAAAATGTGTGAATCCTAACCCATATGAAAGAATTGTGTCCGGTCTATAATTGAATTTTGCATACGTAGGAGAGTTATAAACCAGAATTCATTGAACAATGTGGTGGTATGTATGACCATGAGCAGATTCCAGCTTATCTCCAAAGATAGACCAGTTTGAAAGTTGTATCATAAAATTAGTATCTACACATGCTTATATGATCCATTGATTTGCTACTAGGCACATGTCATCATCTATTCTATCTATTATATAAAGGGAAGGCCTGCGAGCGTTAACACTTTCGAGTCACAAATTTTGAGTTTTTTCAAAATATTCCTAGAGTTATCACTTGAGCAACAAATATTATATGTGCATTTTTTTATTTTTTTTATCATTATTTTTATATAATTACATATTTTTTTTTTTAAATTACACACATATTACATGTGTGACCCGCTATATATATATTTATAGAAAGGGAAATGTCATATGCTCCTTTCATTGTGTTTGAGTGTCTTCATTATAATCATTATCGCCCTAAAAATGTATTCTTGCGTATAGAAATAAGTAAAAAATTTGAAAGTTAACTCAAATAATTTATGCCACTAATTTTTTTTTGGGGGGGAGGGGGGAGAGGATGAGAACGTAAGATGATAACTCACAAATTTTGTATCTTTGAAAACTCGTTAAAGTTGTCCGATCGGTGGTGTCAGTGGTTCAATTTTTGACTTCTTTGGAGCTTATTGCTTCATTCTTCGACTATGTTTGGAATATAGATTTATTAAGAAAAAAGAAAATGAAGTAAGTACATGTTTGCTTTTGTTTTGGTTGATATGAAAAGTAGGAAGAAAATGTATTTCCATTTCCTTTCTTTACCTTTCCATCGCAAAATCCTAAATCCAAACATCGTATTTGTTTTCAGTTTTTAATTTATCTATATTTATTTTTAAATTTTCTTTTACCGTTATCTCGTTTACGCTTTGTTAGGTTGTTGCAAAATAAAAAGAAGTAAAAATCAATTATATGCTTAACCAAAAAAAAAAAAAAAAAAATCAATTACACAGTGTTGCAACTATATATATTTGACTCCATTATAGCTGCTTACAAAAATGTCACTCGTGGACGTGCAAAAAAATATGCATAAACTATTAATGTGTGTACGTTATTGTTGTTGTTCTTCTTTTTCGTTTTTTTTTTTGCTTTTTTTCTCTCCTTACTTTTGAACAAGAAAAGTTAATGAGGTTACTTAAAGTAGAATCATTAGGTTTTGTAAGTTCTCAAATTTGGACATTGTTAAAAAAACACATGATGAACTTTGTTTTTCACACAAAAAAGTCAAAATTTTTTTTATGAAATTGCTTGTAGGCAATTGTAAAAGTTTAATTATTTTTTTTGGTGTAAAACGCGGCACCCATTTGGCCGCCTTAAAACAACAAACTAATGATTTCAGCACTACATTGATGGTTTCATATTAATTGTCATTCCTTCCTATGATTTAATTTTGTCTTGCCAAACCTCGACTCTACGCTATTTACTTTGTGCTACTACCACTTTGAAGTTGACATTTCAATAGTTTGCTCTCCAGATCAGATTTTTTCTCTATAAATCTCCATGAGCTAATCTAATCAATCCACTAAATCCAAAACATTAATTAGTGTCAGCATGAATATATTAATTGATCATTACTTTCTCTTTTATTGAAGAAGTTTGAACTATTGAGCGATGATTATTATAAATAATATGATGTTTCTTACCAAATCTTTTTTTTTAGGTGGTAACTAATATAAATAGAGTCTTGTTAACATGTGCCTTTTAGAGAAAAGTTTGAAAAATATTATACACTTCTCACTTTCATGTTTAATCTTTTCAAACATCTTAACATATGTTTTAGGGATACACATTAACAAAATTCATAGGCACTTCGGGACAACTTTGATAGAACATGTCTACTGTTAATGTTTGTTACTGAAATTTGGACTCTTATTGCAATTATCAATGATGGACTCGGAAATAAAGGTATGCTAATTTTATAATATTTAAGTGAATAATCTTAACATATACTCTTCAAAAACCAAAGCCAATTCAATGTTTCTTAATAATAGAGATTTATATAAATTGATTCTAGTTGTACCCTTTGATAACAACACTACAATGTATTTGTGCAACTAAAGCGAATGAAAAAGCAAAAACACTTGCATAAAAGCATTGTAGTTGTTGAGGTACATAATGAGGTATAATCTTAGCCTATGCTTTGAATTTTTGTTCGGTTAGGTTGATATGCTTTACAAAATACCAAAAGAAAAGAAATTGAAGTAGGTAAATTATATGTTAAAAATCCATATGTAATTAGGACCGACTTAGTGATGCAACACAGCTACTTAACGTGCTGTCTTCTTAAATCAAAATAGACTTCAAAGTTAAGTTTGTTAATACAGTTCATTAGTACCCCCCCCCAAAAAAAAAGATTAATTATTTAGTCTTTATGTAGGGCATTTTAACACTTGCATAAGAAACTATTGCAAATGTAAATTCAAATTCAAAATCAGTATAAGTTGCCACTTGTGACCGTCTGTTAATAACAAATCATGATCATGAACAAAACCAAATTGTTGCAAAAAAAAAAAAAAACAAACTCTTATGTATGGTATTTTTATTCATCACTTGTTCAAGAAACTTTTGTTTATAGTAAAAGTACATTTGAAATTTATGTATGGTATTTTTATTCATCACTTGTTCAAGAAACTTTTGTTTATAGTAAAAGTACATTTGAAATTTGTCAGTATTGAAGGTTTGTTTGTAGATAAGAAATATGAGTCTAATAAAATTCTTTAATTGATTTTTGACTCGACATGTACCACACAATAATTACTTGTTACGATATTTTTCAAAAAAAAAAAAACCAAAAAAAATACAAAACCATGGCACCTATATCATTAAATCAAAACTTCAAAAATCTTCAATGAGATTTTGCCTTTGTCCATGCTATAAAAAGTCGATAAAAACCAAACTCAAAATGAATACCTTGTGTACCATATGGTTTTAGATTTACTAAGTTTATTTTTACTTTTATTATTTTGATAAAAAAATTGATTTACTAATGCCATGAATTATTTAAGCAATGCCACATAACAAGACAACATTTGAAAGCACGTTTTCAAACTCCCTCATCTATTCTATGCGTGAATCTTTTTGGTTTCAATTTAGAAAATTACATTTTATTCCATTTAAAAACACACACATGACAATAATAGGTGTATTGTTGTGCTGGCTAATCACTTTGGAAAATAAAATACTATATATAAACAAACGACTGGCATACTAAACACACATAGCATTACCATCCAAACCCAAAAAGTAATCATCAAATAAAAGAATAATTTATATATGAATTAAATTTTGAAAAACAAAAAAGAATTATAAGCAAAACTACCCTTGTTGGCCATGTACATTATCCCTAAGATACTCACTGTCCCCCCAAAAAAAGAAATAAATAAATAAAAACACAAAAATTCAAGTATTGGAATGGAAAAAAAAATTAAAATAAAAGAGACGAGAATATATAATTATTATTATATTCAATATTATTTTAATTTTTACTTTTTACTTTTTTAGCTTTGCTGTCAAACTTCATTGCCCTCTCTGCAAGATGGTCCAGGCTCTCATGCTATTGGGCCAAAGATTGGACCAGGATTGGGATGGGCTGGGCCTGAGATAGGGGCCCACATCAAGAAAGGAAGACCTCAACAGTGGACTCTTTGAAAGAGAGACAGACAGGACAAGCTTGAGCCATGGCACCACATTCTCTACACAGACAAAAGTGCCGACACGGCAACACAACCACCGAAGCAACTCGTTCCCGACACGCCTTGCAACTCGGTCCACTCGCCGCCTCGACTCGGTCCGGGTCAATGTAAGCCGACTCGGCGTCCTCCGCCTCGCCGCCGGAACACCCCAACTCCTCCCCTCTATCCTGCTGCTGCGGCTGCGCACCGCCGCCCATTATGGCTTGCTGAAGCTGAGCCTGAAGCGACGCCGCCGTGGCTTCCTGAGCCCTGGCTTTCGCCTGCCACGCCTGTGCTTCCGCTCTCAGCTGAGCCGCTCGGACCTCCAGCTCGGCGTTCCGGCGCGCCGCCTTCTCGACTTCGGCTTCCTTCTCCCTCAGCCTCCGGGCCACCGATTCCTCCGCCGCCCCCAACAGGGTACGGTAGTGTCTCTGTCTCTTCTCTGCTAATGTGCGCCGCAGTTGCTCTCCCTGAACACCCATGGAAATATAAAGATTGAGAAGAGAGCTTTTTTTTTTTTTTTTTTTGAAAATTGAGAGAACCCATTAAGGGAAAAGCGAAATTAGTACCTGGGCTTGAATGAATTGTTCAATTTCATCTCTCTGTTGCGTGATTTGGGCTGCCAAATCTTCAGATAAGACCGAAAACAGAGCAGAAGATTGAGAAGAGAGAGCTTGTTGTTGTTGTTGTTGATGATGATGTCGTAATTGTTGTTGTTCGCCGAATGATAAACGGAGACCTGTGGAGACCACATTAGGTTGCGGGGTGTGAAGTTGAGAGAGGTCTATGAGCTGAGAGGGATGAGATTGTTGGATAGAGAAATGATTATTATTGATTGGGGATGTTGTTGCTGTGAGTTCTCTTCCTCTCTTACGTGGATTAGTCCCCACTGTGAAGAAAAACAATGCGCTCTATAAATCAAAACGGTGATCATCAAATGAAGATTTCAATTGATTACAAGAAGATATTGGTGAAACAGAGAGAATTAGCTGACCTCCATTGTTGAAAAACATGTGGGATGATTGATCAAGAAATCCTCCTCCTCCTCCACCAACAACAACGCCTGGTTGTGGCTGCAATGAATAGTCGTTTCCAAGTGGGTTCTTTACCTCTTGTACACTTCTGCATAAAAGCAACTCAATCATCAAACCAAAACCCAATTACATATATATGGAGAAGAAGGTGAATAGAAGAATACAAACCTGTTTAGGAGAAGAACATTTGATGGGTATTGAGCTTGAACGGCCATTGTTATCGATTGTTATTTGATATGGAGAAGATACAGAGAAAGAAGAGACACAAGTGGATGGGTATGTATAGAGAGAGGGAGAGAGAGAGAGAGCAATGTGGTGAGACGCGTATGAGGAGGACTAATTAACGCAAACACATAAACAGTATGAAAGAGAGGAAACCACCCCAACCCCAAACCGAGGCGAACTCTTCAATGAGACTTGTAGAGAGAGAAAGACGAGAGAGAGAGAGAGAATTGAAAGGAATTAAGAGGTCATCACCACCACCACCGTTTCTTGTCCTCCTGCTTTGTTAATCCTTTGTTGCTATGCTATATCGATGTATATGTATGTATATGCTGAGAGAGGAAGAGAGAGAAAGAGAGACGCGATTGAATCGAATCAGTCCGAGAGAGAGAGAGACGGCCTCTTATTATGGGTTCTTTCTTTCGCTGCTTTTAACTTCCCCTTCTTCTTCGCGTGAGGCTTGGCTTTTGTTTTGAGGTGGAGTCTCTCCTTTGTTTTCTTCACCCCCTCCCCCTCCTCCTCATACTACACCTAATTTATAATTTCATTTTATTTATTCATTTCATTTATTATTATTTTTTAAAAAAAAATTCAAAAATTAAAAAAATTTATATAAAAAATATATATATATATATATAGAGAGAGAGAGAGAGAGAAGAAGCAATGAAGAAGGTGGGTGATGTTGTTGTTGGGCGTGCAGAGATGGACTCTGCCGCTACCGCTGCCCTCGGATTGTTTGTACATGGCCCATGCGTCTCACTCTACTCTCTCTCTCTCTCTCTAAATTTGATTTTATAATTCTTGGGAGATAAAAAGAAAAAAGAATTGTTTTTTTTTTCTTTCTAAATCTTATTTTTCATAAATTTATACTTATCTTGAATTGGGCACTCCACCATGTTGGAAAATATGGAGCACTTATTATGGGACAACGACAAGTTTATCCCTACTTGCATTTCTAAAGACGGTGTATCTTGTTTGAGGTTGTGTATCCACTTGAGATTTGTGAAGCAATAGTTATGCTTTAGAGGTATTTAAGCATTTTCTTTCACATGCTTAGCTACTTGTAATTAACTTTAGAATCCACCACCACCACCACCAAAAAGAAAAAAATAATGGTGAAGGTAGACATCATATAGTATGACTTGTCATTGAGGCGAGATTTACGTTATTTTATATTTTTTTTAGCCTATCTTGGTCTTTATTTTAATGATTTGATTAATTAATTTTTAATTCTATTGTGGGTTATTTGTATAAAAAAAGTTATATTAATCCAATAACTATAATCACATGATTTTATTATATTTGTATTAAAAAATCTGAAAGATAAATATAAATTTAAAAACACATCATTTATTTATTTTTTTAAAGTAAATATAATTAAATCATGTTGTAGATTAATATATATATATATATATATATTTTGGTTGGCCCTGGAGTGTGGACTGTCCAATCCCCAATTCACTTCTTTTTCCTAAATTTGTTTTGGAAATTTTAGGTTATTAAATTTACTGTTTAAAATATGGTTTACCTTTTATCTCTAATAATTTTGGGGAAAGTGTTGAATATTAGTTACTTGGTGTTGAAGATTCAATCTCTTTTAACAACTAATAATATGCAAACCCTTCTAGTTCTCATTCCTTACTTAGAAAAGAAAGAAAAGATCAGAATACCATCCGACCTAATTGCATGGGTTGTTGGTTGGGTTCTCCTTATTCCCATCTCACAAAGTAAGTGTTTGATCAAAACTTCTTCCAAAGACTATATGTCAAATTACTAAATTAGCCCTATATTATCCCTTAATTTATGGAAGATCAAAGAAAGTCATTGATTAGTTTTCAAAAATTTGAACCGTTTTTAGTTGCACCAAATATTTCTAGTGGATGTACCAAAACAAATATTTGTAGTGGACTAAATTGCCCTGCCATGAACCATCATTATTTGTTGGGTGGCAATGAGAGTTTTTCCAAGTAATTAATGGTTTTGAAACATTAATTTAGTATTTTTTTTTTTGAACTAAATTAAATTATATGTTGATATGGTATTTTTAGACCAATCAAACACCAATCATGGATGGATGGTGTCAACTTGACCTATATTGATCAATTGGGTAAGGCTATAAAATGAATCAAACTACTCATTTAAAAGCTTATTTAAAATTGACACATAATGTAAACAAGTTAAGTTTAAATATATTTTAAAGTGCATTAAATATATACTATTAAAAATCAAGTTACTAGAGTTCATGTGGATTAAACTCATTTGGAATTTGTTCTGAAATTAAATAAGTCAATTTTGAAGATATTTTGAAAATCTTTAAATTATTAGGTTAAATTTGAACAATTTACTATTTGACTTGTCAATTGCCTTGCCGTTGGATGGCAAACAAGATAAGCTTATTCATCTCTTCTTTGCAGCATCATTAGTTAGAAATATCAACATACATGCCATAATTAAACTTTGAAATTGGGTAATTATTCAGTAGTTCTAGAACATATCTTTATTAAATAGTTAAAAAACAAATTTATTGATTGAAAATACTACTTATGTCACATAATATTACAAAAATATCAAATAATTTGTATAACTTTCGGAAACTTGAGACTAGGAATTTCATGCATTTATGTTTGAACCATCACTTGTTTTTGGTAGTTTGACTACTTAAAATGAACATTTATTACTTTGTGTGTGCGCGTAATGAATTTATTACGTAGAAAATATTAATTTTTTTAACAAAAAACTTAGTCATGGTTGCAAACAACCTTAAATGAAAAATACTTGTGAAGTTTACACCCATGTAAGATATTTAGTAGAAAATTTAATATCTCTAACATTATCTAACCTAAAGTATGGATCCACACTCATGTGAAACATTTGATTATTCATTTGGTAGAAAATTTAATATCCCTAATATTACCCAACTTAAAATGTAGATCTCACATCTAATAAGATATTTGATTATTTATTTGATAAAAAATTTAATATCTCTAATGTTACACTACAGAAATTGGCCACGGTGTTACGTCCGTAAATTAAGCCATCTCTCCATTCCTTAGTTGACAATCATGTTTGGTTTTGTTTCAACCAATGTCTCTATTTAGCAGCCTTTCAATCTCCTTCAAACGCATGCCTTGCCATGCCCTTATTCAAATTGTGTCTTTCAATCATATATGTAGTTAACTATTATAAATTTAAAAAAAAAATTAAAATCACAAATAAAAAATAATGACAATAACAAAGAAATGTGGGTCGAAATTCTTAACTTCCACGTCTGCGATGAAGAAGTCAAACCATCAATCAGTTGAACTTTTTATGTGCATATGAAATTTTCAGATTGATTAAAAATTGCTAAGGTACTTTGATCATACATTGAAAAAAGAAGAGAAAAAAAAAGTCTCAATTCAACAAAAATAACTTATACCCAAAAAAGCTGTTCATGAAATGGACTTGAGCTCAATAAAATTACATATTGAAATATTGTTTACATCATAGTGACGCTAGGTAGAGGCCCTAAAATGCTTTTTTGTATTTTGTTTAAAAATTCTTTTGATTTTTTTTTTAATACAAACTGATGCCATTGAAATATGGGGGTTACAATATCAATTTTACCTTCTTTTTTCCCCCCTCCTACTCGTTATGTGGATTGACATGGCAAATTTGTAGACTAATCGAGTCTTATTTTGACAATTCAGTTCGTTCATTTTATAAATTTATGTGTATACAACCTACTAAAAATTTTAAAATCACAGTCAAATAATTTAATTGTCTTACAAAAAGGACTATTAATATAATTTTAAAACTAGATTATCTATTTTTTTGAAAAAAAAATACGATAAAATCATAAAATTATCATTGTCAAATCAATATAAATTTTTGATGGATGATCTTTAGAAATGAATTAACAAAATGCACAAATTGGATTATAATATTACGTAGGAGGTGAAAAACCATTGAATTATGCCTTGCTAGTCTAACAATTGGCTTAAAAATAGCGAAATTCATTTTTCTTAAAATATAAATGTGAACAGACAGAGATAAAGAGGGGACCAAGGGGGAAGGGTTTTTCCTTCATTAATTAAAAAGGGTATTTAATTGTATAAAAAAAATGTGATGAATTTTATCATAAAAAGAAATTCCCATCTACTATTAAAGTTGCAGACTTCAATATCTATGTGTAGGTGAAGCAAAAATTAAGAGAGGATGGAGTTGAATCCTACAAGAAAAGTTTGAGTTGGTATTGGTAATCATCCCCAAAACCAAGAAGGCTATTAACTTCCACTTTAATTGATGGAGGTGATAAAGAAAAGAGAGAAGCCACCAAAAAAGAGGAGAGAGAGCGCGCTAGCTTGGGAATGGCATATCACACAATTTGTCTTTGTTTAGGACCCACAAGGGTCGGCTCATCTTCCTCCTATTAATCATCTCCCTTTCTCCTTCATTCATGGTAATACAACCCTCCACGGCAATATACGACTACTCCAAGAAAGAAAAAAAAAAAATTAATTAATTAATTTTTTTAGATAATTAAATTCTTAAAAATTAAATGTATGTTGCAAATATAAATTTGATACAGTGTAGGTTACGATTAGAATAAATATAATTCACACTTTTTAAATTTTGAAAAAAATTATTATTATTTTTTAAAATAATTAGATTTTTTTTTTTTTGATCGGCAAAAAAATCTTTATTGATGACAACATACAAAGTATGGAACAGTACATCAATAAAGAAAAGCTTTGAGCTAAAACGAAGTTCCAAACGCCAGTTGGTGAGGAACCAACCAAAAGAGAACAAGAGAAGAAGAGTGGAAAAAAAACACAGCAAAAAACAGCATACACCTAATTACTAATATATACCTCTGCTAGTTTGGACGAAGATATGTAACATTTTTTTAACATGCCTAAACTACCAGTCTGATCAAATAGCTGTTCACTTTTTCTGGTAATTGTTATCAACTATTAAACTGTTTATGGCATGGATGGTTAGAGTATAGTATTTGAGTATATGGGAAGTTGCTATTTTAATAGGTTATTTTAGTTTTTGGCTATTTTAGTAGATTAAAATTTTTGTGTTTGGAAAGATAATTGGATTTTTTTATAATTGGATGTGATATTTATGAGGGAAAAAATGAAATGACTATGGGTTTAATGTTATATTTTGTCTTATTAACTATTTTAGCTTATTTTGTCTTTTCTTACAAGGTTTAAAGTGTACAGCCTATTTGGTGAAGAATTCTCACATTTTTTAATTATATTTTTATTTTCGAATTACCCCTTTGTAATTGCCCAACTTTTTTATTCAAATTTTGATTTATTCAATTTTTTATTTTTATTTTTTTACATAACAATTACAACCATGCACAACCTTCTAGTACATATGTGCATATACACACTACTCCCACCCAATTCACAACTCATTGTTTTCTTCTCCCTCAAAGTCCCAAGACAGCCTTTCCTTTTCTCTCTTTCTATGGATTGTTTTCTTTGTGCATTGCTTTTATTATAATGTTTTTGCATAGATGGTTAAAAAGAGATATTTTTGTATGTCAATAAGATACTATGTGACATTATCTTTCACCAATCATAAATGTATATATCTTTTATAGTTTTCCAAACACCCAACATATATATATTGAATCTTACTGTCAAAACCAATCACAATAATAAAAAGTATCACATAATATATACCCCATCCACATACAAAAATTACTCGTTAAAAAGAGAAGCAACTTATCCTTTTACTTGATTTTGCATTTATACTATTCTTCTGCATTAGTTAAATTATAAACTAAACTGTATCTTTAATTATAGTTCAAGAAATGGTTTGTATTACCCACAAAGAAAAAGTTAGAATAAATAAAAATAAACTGACCAGAACCAGATGGATCTTTCAAGATTTTGGAAGACTCCATGTGTTTGGATTATTAAAATAACTCATTTTTGTACGAAACTTTTGCGCAATAATCCAAATAGCTCAAAACGCGGATCAAATTCATTGACTCATGGATTAAGGTGAAACATGACTTAGTGTAATAATACATTGTTTCTCACATAATTGGGGTTGCTGAACCACTTAGGTTAATCTATTATAATTTTTATAAACATGACTTAGGTTAATCTATTATAATTTTTTTCGATCATTTTCAAAGCACACAGATAACACATATATTATACTTGTGTGTTTATGCGCGTGTCTATATATAATTCATACTTAGGAAGGACAATTTTCATTACTATTTTGATCATCCTTGAACAGTCCCTTTGAAAGCACCAAACTAAACATTGATACCTCAGAGGACCTACACTGTTTAAGGGTTAATCCAAAATATTGATGCAAGCAATGATGTTATCAAGTTGATAATTAAGTTATAAAGTCAACATTTTTTTTATTACTATTCTAAATAAAAAAAAAATTGTTTTACAACTAAACAGATTTAATTTGGTACATTAAGCTTTAGGTATACTAATTTCTAGTAAGAATAGTGATTTTTTAGATGTGCTTGGAATCTTCTTTTGGTTTTGTTTCCTGGAAAGTTCAAAACTTGTCCTTATGTTTTAGGACATAGAAATTAATAAGGTCATGAAATTTGGTGGGTTATAAATGAAATCGGTATTAAAAAAAGAGTTATGTTAGGGATCCTAAATAAATTATCAAACAAATTACCAAATCTGTCACATGTGTGTGGGTCCCACATCTATGTAAGAGGTTTGATAATTTATTTGGTAATTTACTTGGAATCCATAGCATTTTTTTTAAAAAAAAAAATCCATTCATCAAAAGGTTATTAATGTTTTATATGATTAGTAGTGGTAATTCATTAATGGGACAATTGTAAAAAAATAATATAAACTCAAAATAATTATAAAGAGATAGAAGTATAAGACTTATAGTTGCAAAATTGAATGGATTAATTAGTTGCGTTTTTATGACATTGCAATTATTTTGTGTTGATATCACTTTTTTGCAATTCCCTCGTTCTTAATAAAGCGATAATTCTAAATTAATTTTCCATTTGTTTTCAGTTCTAATGCAAAGGGTGCACAGTGAAATATATATATATATATATATATAATGGTAACCATTAAAGTTATATAAAGTCCAAATCTTAATCAAAATAATTTAACTATATTTGAATAAATCACTACAAAAATAAGAGTTTTGGGATCGATTTTTTTTCCCCTAAATTTTGTTGCAAACAAAATCTGGAGATCAATTCCTGTTATTGTAAAGATAGTCGCTAAAAGATCGTTTGAAAAAGTCAAAAAAAGATTTGTAGAGACAAAATTTTAAAATTTTTATTAATAAATACATTTTAATGGACAAAATAATTTGGTATAAAAAGGTTTATTTTTTTAGATAAAATTTTGATTCCAAAAGAATAATAATTTATCATTAAATATCAAACTTTATCATTAAAAATACAATAATGATATTTTTTTATAACAAAATATTTCATCCATAAAAAATAAATTAATTCTTAAATTTTTATTTTCTAAACTTTCATTTGTTATAGTGAATACTGTGCAAATGGATGCCACTCGTAATCTGTAATTGAAATGAGTTGATTTGTTCTTAAATGCATGTGGAGTGGATAAAGTTTTGTGCAAGTGTACAATAATTTTGACAAAAACATAACATGACTTGTGTGCGAGGGTGATTTCCGCACTATGAAGAAGGGTTGAACTTCGTGGATGAACAGCGTGCCTTGGGAATTGAAGATCTGCACAGAATAACAAACGGTGAGGCTGCCCGACCGGGGTTTGGTCGGAAACCCCTCCGATGGTAAAGTCAGGGACTTAGGAAGAAGAAGAAGAGAGAATGGGTGTATATGTGTTAAGTGTGTGTATTTTTCGGATCCCTTCAGAGTGAATAGTGTTCACCTTTTATAGGAGAAGGTTGTTTGTCGTTCAAGTCTTTCTCTCTCCGCCATCTGTCCAACGTGTCTTATTCGTGGTCGTCTCCTATTGGAGGAGGACGACCACTCCGCCTGACACTCGGGTGCAGGTCTGTTTTGTTTGTCTCATTAGCGGACATCTCTCATTGGAAGAGGACGACCACTCCGCCTAACACTCAAGTGCAGGTCTATCATGTGTGCGCCTTGTCCCTTTGCACCTCCATGTCTCCACGTTCTATTTAGAAAGAGAAGAGGAGCTGAGTTGTTTGTCTCTTGTGAGCCTAAAAAATGCCTTCAGTGTGTTGACCTTCTCCAAGTTGGTCCACTTCGAAATGGTTGTCCATCCTAGAAGTACAACTTGTTGCTCGATTAGCTTTGGAGCGAGCTTTGCACGTTAGGCTGAGCTTTCTAGTGTTCACTTTGGAGTGACGCTCGTACATTGGACCGAACTCCCATGATTGTCTTGCTTCGGAGCAGGTGTTGGCCTGGGCTGAGCTCCAACCTAGCTCAACCTTGGAGTAAGCCTAGCATTGGGCCGAGCATCGAGAATTAATTTTTACCCACTTCACACATGTTTTTCATATTTAGGCTGAGATTGTATTAAACCAACTCGGCTCATTTGCTAAATGAATAACTTCAAGTTAAATTTGTAAGCACGTTTAGTAATCGAGCTGAGGTCAAGTAGACCTAACTTTGACTCAAATAGGCTCGATAATTAACCTAAATTTGACTTTTTTAGCAAAAAAAAAGTTGGCTGCCAAGCGGGGCCAATATAAACCTTACTCAACAACGTTGATACCCATAAAATAAAAATACGAGTGCACTGAAAAAATAAATAAATAAACAGCATCAAGATCTTCTTCATTTTATTTTATTTGCCATTAATAACAGAAACAGGACCTCAATTGTTATTTTCATTTACAAATGGAACAAGTAAAGCCAAATCAGCAAAGAATAACAAAGGGTCAAAAGAAATAAAAAAAAAAAAAGCTTTCCTTGTTGAGAGCTTGACAAAATCAATAGCAATGAATGGTTAACTATTTGATTACAACATTAATGCATTACTTGCAGTTGAAAAACTTACAATCAGATCAAGCTGGCTTTACTGACTTGCCATCTTCAGCATCGTGAGCATTTCTGAAGTTGAAAACACCAGCGAGTCCTCGTCCCCTCGCAAGTTGTTGGAGCTCTTCAAGTTTTTGCTTAAGAAGCTCCACTTCTCTTGCTAGCTCTTCATCTCTTAGCCTTATACCCTAAAAACCCATAAACACAGAAAGACTGAGAATTGCACTCAACACATAGTGGGTCTTTTCACCCACTTTGGGAGACGAATTTGTAATCTGATGTACAAAATAAAATAAAATAAAAAGAATGAAAACTAGAAAGAGAGAGGATGATATTGAGAAAAACAATTAGGTCACATTTGAATTCACGGATTTGAAATGATACGGGCTTAATTATTCAAGGAGCATAGCCTGGAGTTACAAAGTAAATAGCTTAGATTTTGAGTTCAACAATTTGTATATATGGATAGATTTGAAACCTTTATATCAATGAATTAGAAGTTTAAAATTCATCCCATAAACTATTTATACAAGGATCCTAACAAAATAAATCTCCCTCAACCTGGCCATAGGTCAATAAATCCAACTCCAATGGCCAACATTTTTCCAATATCAAACTTTTTTGTTACTTCAAAAGTCTAATGCTCCTGGCATTAACAACAGAGATGCAATAAAAAATTAGGTCGGTGCTGGGAGTAATCAGCCATATAGATATGAATTTGGTTAAGTGAGGATCAAACACCTCTTTTTTTCCAATTGTGAAACCTGTTGTCCATCCATCACAAACTTAAGCTTTTCTCTACACAGCCCCTCTCTACCTTCCAAGGATAGAATGACAAATACATGAAGTACCATCTTAAATAGAGCAACCTTGAGAGAAAGAGAAGAAATCACAGGACAAAGTGTCAGGCACGTGTCTAGGAGTGTCCGGAAAGTGTCCATGAAGTAAGTGTCAACACAAAAACAGCTCTTGTATAGTTGCTACTTAGGTCATAACTGTGATATATAATGTGAGCACACCCTTTAATTTTTTACTTATTTTTTTAATCCTTGTTTAGATTTAAACTCACTGATCTAGTTGTGTTATCTAATACATCTTCTGTGGTTGAAAGAGTTTGCATTAATAATCTAATCCAGCACAAAAAGTTCAATGAGTTGATTAACCAGTCCTTATTGGATACCCACAAAACTAAAAAGTTACCAAAATATTTGGGGAGAAAATACAACCAACTTGCAAGGAAAACAAAAACGATAATAAAAGAAGATATTAATCCATAGCCAGAATACGAACAGAGGTGGTCCTAGAGAGAATGATTACGAGAGTATAGTACATAAGAAGAGAATAATTTTGACATTACCTGCAGTTCCTGCTTACGCAGTTCCTCCTTTTTAGCTTCTGATCTAGAACTTCTCTGCACCTCAAAGATAAGGGCAACTCCTGCAACCTATACATACATTTAGGCCTCTAAGTATTGGTGGATGATCTATTATACAATTGGCATTAAATGTTGAACTGTGAAAAAAAAATGTCACGGTTTAAAAAGGCACAGGTCATTGTAAAGAGAATGCTAATATCAGATTAGGACAACGTTGTCCAGCTCTTGTCAGATGCAGTGCACGTAAAAGCCGGCTAGATTTCGTAGTCACATAGGCATCACCCAGGATGGACATTAATTGCTTACAAATTACAATCATCATCCAGTTAGGCATATTGTGAAATTGAAGCAAGCAATCACAGCATACCATAGCATGGTACAAAAGGTGGTATCTCTTTAGTTAACCCTCTGTAAGGGATATTTGTGTGAGTGTGTGTGTGAATTATCTAGTTTCTTAAAGGAAATGCAATAGATTGCACATTTAGGAAGAACATCCCACAAATCATTATTGGTCTTCTAAGGCATAGGAGCAAACTAACAAGTCCATTCATCTGGAAACATTTGGCCAACAGGTCAAGAATTCAGAATGCATTGAGGAGAAATTGTAAAAAAATAGACAAATATTCAAGAATCACTGCAAGTGGAAAAGCCAATCCATGTTCAGATATGCAATGAATTTATCGTGATTTCCAAAACAAAAATATAAAGTAAAATAATAGAGTAACAAATTTGCAAATTATCAGGTGTTTTGTGGCCAAGTTTTCAAAGTTTCTGAGCAATTATCTCATTCTGCTGCATGCGCAGCATGACAGATAGAGAGCACAAGGTCTTTGACTATCAAATCACACAAGAATATGTTTGCACATGCATAATTTTCCTCTATTAGTTATCTTTTTCTTCTTGATAATATTATTTGTAATGACTTAAGAAGGTTTGGTACTTATTCAAACATCTAAAAAAGGAAAAAGGATGCAAATTGTGAATAAAGATTACCGAAAAGACGAAGACTTCCCCAAGAAGGTCCACTGCAGATTGAACAGCATTCTTCTCATTTAGGGGGTGGATCTCAACATTAGTTGCATGACCATAGATGCTTCTTTGAATTGTTGTTGTGAACCGATGGTTTGCCTGGATTGAATACCCATTGTAAGAATAAATGAGTTCTTAGATTATTTAAGTACACATTCAGAAACAAACTAAATTATCAAATAAGCCAGAGACTAGACTAAAAATTATACGTGATACGGTATTCACATCTAAGAACAATGACATAAACTAAAAAACTAAATGATTACAACCAGCATTTACGTATAGCATGATTGCAGGAACAATTAGAGGAAAAAGAAAATGGAAATTTAGGAAGTGAGTGAACACCGGATTTTGTGAAAAACTGTTATGTCTTTCTTGACCTCATACGAAAAATCAATCCACTATCCTCTATGAAGCACGGACACTTTAAAATAGGTGCTATAGCAATGTTGGACATGGGGACACGCTGGAGACACGTACGGGACACACCAAATGGCGTATCCCTTTAATTTTTTTCTTTTTTTTTGTTGAGGACATGTCAGGAACACGGGGACATGCCAAATGGTATGTCCCTTTAATTTTATTTTCATTTTTTGTTGGGGGACACTTCAGGGACACGCTGGGGACATGCGTATTTGTTTAAATGTAGTGGTTTTTATATATATAGCATTTGAAAGTAAAAATTCATCATCAATTGCCCGCTCACAATTGATCCTCATGAATCCCTCTCATTTCTATTTATAATGGTAATTGGACATTAATCATGGCTGCTTGATTGGGATTGCTTAAGTAATATGATATTTATAATCCATTGATGCGAGTATTAACGTGTCAATCAAATTGTATATTAAGGGGTTGTTTGGGGTGTCCCAAATAAGTGTACTTTTTGTCTTTTTGGACTAAAAAATTGAGGAAAAAAATATGGATGTTTGGGTTAACTTTTTGACTTTTTATGGAAAAATGTGTATTAAAAAATTGTATAAATTAGGCTCCGTTTGGGAAGAAAAAAGCCAGGCTTTTTTGGCTAAAATAGCCACAAAAAACAAAATAGGCTATTTTAGCCACAAAAAACAAAACATCAAATCCAACCCATAATCATTACAATCCTCTCTCACAAAAAAAGCCAAAAAAGCCAAAAAGCCAAAAAGCCCTTCCCAAACCAGGCTAAAATAGCCAAAAAGCCAACCCACTTCCCAAACGGAGGCTTAGAGTTATAAGCTGCATTGTTAAGCTAAACCAAACACATCAAAATAGTTTAAATTAGCTGAAAGCTGAAATAAACAACTTTTAAGCTGCACCAAACAGGCACAATGCCTGCTTTTTGGTTCTATTTCTTATCTTGTTCTGGTTCTGTTGTCTTTGAGGGTAGCATTTGTTTTGATTTGGTGCTTGTTTCCATTGTAGTTGGGATTTGCCCCTTTAGCAATGATGCTATTTGGTCTTGGCCTTCTTATGATGTATTTTGTATGTACTTCTTGTATTCTAATTTGAATCAATATATTATCTTTATTTTACCAATCAAAAAAAAAAAAAAAAAAAAACCTATTCAGTGTGTTTGGTTTGAATTTTTTGGATTAAGTTTTTTAAAATTGAGTTTTTTGATTTTCGTGTTTTTTTTTTTGTTTTTAGTGAATATTTTTAAAATTTTAAATATTTTTTTTTTACTTTTTTA